AATGAGTAATGGAAAGGTCACTGATAAGGCAGAAACGAATTATAGATGAGTCTTTGGTGAGTCAGTAATGAGCAATGAATAAGTTATGGGTGAGTTAGTGATGAATAAGGGATAAATCAGCCACTGAGTTACGGATGAGTCATCGAGGGGAGATGATGAGTCATGGGGTAAGTCAGAGCATGAGTCATAGAGTGATCCAGATGAGCAACAGAGTGAGTCAGGATGAGTCGAAGTCGTGAGTCAGCGCCGAGTCTAAAGCCGCGTCTCCCGCAGCCCTGGAGGCCCCGCCGGTGCCCAAGAACGAGAGCGAGATCCGGGTCTACGTGAAGAACCTGCAGGTGATCGACAACCAGCGGCGGCTCCTCTCGCTCTCGCAGCGCCTCGAGCCCAAGCGACCGTAGGAGGGGGCACAGGACACGCCCTTCGTACCCCTGGGATCTACTCGCGCCCCTGGGAGGTCCTTCGCACTGTTGGAATGTCCTCTGTTGGCTGGGGACGCGCATCATGTCGACGGGACGCTATTTTGTACTCCTGGGACGCCCTTGGAGAGCCCCAGGATGTCTTTCGTCGAGATGGGCGGTTTTACAGAGCCGTGTGACGTCCTCCTCGTACCTTCAGGACGTTCTTCGTAGTATTGGAAAAGTCCTACATCACCGTGCGACGTCCCTGAGTAGCCTCGAGACGCCCTTCAGCACTCACCCTTCACCCTTCGCCTCAAGCTCAAGGGACACCAAGACGGGGGAACGAGATGGGTTTGGGACGCGATTCACATCCCTGAAACGCCCCTTGTAAACCCTAGGACGCCCTTTTTTTTCTTTTTCTGTGACGCCCCAAGGACTCCCTCTTCCACATCTCGCAGTGCCTCGTGTCCAAAAAGATCCTCAGTTGGGGGACTAGATTGTCCTAGGATGTTTCTCGCTGCTCTCACACGCGCTTCGCAAGCCCTTCGCGGTTCGTGCCAACTCTCGACGCCCTTCGTTTCCTGAGACGTCCTTGGTTACCTACAGGCGCCTTAGAATTCTCACTTGACGCTCTTGCGAGGTTCTCCATTCCCCTGACACGTCCTTGGCTACCTAGAGGCGCCTGAGGACTCTCGTGACTCCTTGCCAAGACGCCCTCGGAATGTCTTTCACAATTCTGAAGAAGAAACTCTACGGAAGAGAAAAAGACGAAGGAGGACGAGGTCGGGTTCTCACTGCGGATTAGACATTGTTAGTAAGAGTTTTCATTCCACCCAAGGTGCTGGGCAGTATTTTCAAAAGGACGAGATAAAAACGAAGTAGATAATGAAATAGAAAATGTTTTGAAAAAGGAAAGATAGAAAGGAAACAAAAAAAAAATTGTATTTTGAACAGGGAAGGATAAAAATGAAATAGATAATGAAACGGACAATGTTTTGAAAAGGGGAAGATAGAAATGAAGCAGATAATGAAATGGAAAGTATTTCGGGAAAGGGAGACAGAAATTGTCCCCCTTAAATTCTGCATCTGCAACGTGGTCCCTTTTCGTCAAAGATAAATGGTACGTGCCCAGCTGGTGCTGCCATTTTTATTTTTATTTTCTCTCCCCCACTGACTTCAAATATTGGAAAGTCTTCCTATATTGCTATTCCTTCGAATTTGAATATTCTACAGAGAGAAGAAAAATAGTGAAAGAAAAAGCTGAAATTCAAATCGTTAAGAAATGCTCAAGAACTGGGATAAAAAGGGAAGTGCTTTTATTCCTCGGTGCAAATAATTAATAGAAAAAAAACAAAACCTCTCGGTGAAAATAATGATTTGTTTTCCTTTTCGATTCGTAGAAAATGTGTACAAAAAGTGATGAATCTATTGAATGATGATAACAGAATTGAGAAAGAAAAGTGAGGAATAAAAGAGGGGAAAAAAGAAATTTGAAAAAGAAAAGAAATATGAGAAGATGAAGTAACTTTAGGTAAATGATAAGAAGTGAAAGTTCAAATTCCATTTTTGTTTTCTTTTTTGCAAATTTGATTAAAAGGAAAATAAAACCAAAGATAGATAAAAGACGAGACGAAATGAATACATGTATATATTATAGGAAAAAATGATGTGAAATATTTTTTTTATTAACTGATTCCTCTCCTTCCCTCTCTCTCTCTCTCTCTCTCTCTCTCTCTCTCTCTCTCTCTCTCTCTCTCTCTCTCTCTCTCTCTCTCTCTCTCTCTCTCTCTCTTTCTCTCTCTCTCTCTTTCTCTCTCTCTCTCTTTCTCTCTCTCTCTCTTTCTCTCTCTCTTTCTCTCTCTCTCTCTTTCTTTCTCTCTCTCTCTTTCTTTCTCTCTCTCTCTTTCTTTCTCTCTCTCTCTTTCTTTCTCTCTCTCTCTCTCTCTCTCTCTCTCTCTCTCTCTCTCTCTCTCTCTCTCTCTCTCTCTCTCTCTCTCTCTCTCTCTCTCTCTCTCTCTCTTTCCCTCTCTCTCTCCCTCTCTCTCTCTTTCCCTCTCTCCCTCTCTCTCTCTCTCTCTCTCTCTCTCTCTCTCTCTCTCTCTCTCTCTCTCTCTCTCTCTCTCTCTCTCTCTCTCTCTCATTCTATTATGTGTGTGCATATAATGAGCGGAATATACTTCCTGATTATGTTATTAGAGAAAGAGAGGATTGGAGAAAAGAAAAAAATAGAAAACTATTTTTTAACTTGAAATTTAGTTTACATATTCAGGGTAAAAAACAGAAACGAAAGTAACAAGAAAACATAACATAAACAATAAAAGGAGATTTTTTAAAAATGTGAAAATATAGAAAAATATGTAAGGAAATAAAGTATACAGAAAACAAACGTATGAACATTTATAATACGTACCTTTGTGTTGTTGTTTTTTTGTTTTTTGTTTTATTGTTTTTGTTTTTGTTTTTGTTTCTGAAGGCACGTGACTGAAAACAGAGCGAAGAAATAATTCATTAACCTATTTTTATATTTTTGGATTTGTATCTGTGATCGAGAGTCTAGCACGAAAATAAAGAAAAAGAGAGACGAAACATTTATAAAACCGATGTATTTTCATAGATGTGTATATATATATCTTTCTATAGATTTGTAAACGTCGTTGATTAGGGCATAGTTGGTCGATATTTTAATCTAGAAAGAAATGATATTATATAGAGCATACCTGAATTAGAGAGAAAACAAAAAAAAGAAATCTAGGAAAATATATGTATTTTTTCAAAAATAGACATATTAATATTTCTATAACATAAATATATAAGTACCGTTATGATCCTTTACATTAATATGGCTCTTGTAAATCCTATTTAACATAAAGCTGGACATAAATTATTTTTTGAGCGTGAATAGGAAACAAGAGAAATAAAATACTGAAAAAGTGTTGGATCCGGTGCTTTTGAAAACAGTAAATAGACAAATGGCCACGGAAGTCTGCCAAAGTAACATTAAAGTGGTGTATGTGTGTTAGATGTCATGTGTATTATTTAAATGTTTGATGTGATAGAAAAAAAAAGTTTTATTTATTGTTATTACTATGATTATCACAATTCATCCTGCATTTACTTTGATTTATTCATAAATGCATTTTAGTCTATAATTAATCTCTCTTTTTTTAGCTACATTACCACATATATTTAACGAATTTCGTGTCATTTTCAGCATCAAGAGATTTGTTTTCCTTTTTTTTCCTTTTTCTTCTAAATTCCATAGGCACTTCCAGGAAATTCTCATTAGTCACGTATTTCTTATACAATCATCTTTTTTCCGATGTCTTTTAAACACATCAGTGTGGATTTATGTGTTTATGTATTATTCACTTTTCGTAATATCTTTCTGTGTAACCAGTCGAGCAATGTTCCTTCTAATCATAATCGAATTAAATGGTTATATATATATATAATATATATATATAATGTATATATATATATATATATATATATATATATATATATATATATATATATATATATATATATATATATATATATATATATATATATATATATATATTGTAGGGTTAGAAACAATTTTAAAAATCCTAGTATTTTGTCCAACTCTTGCAATTCAGTGGAATTTGAATAAGAAAACGCATAATGATGATAATAACATTATGATGATAGCAATGATTATAATGAATGATAATGAAAGCAAGTGATTTAACAATAATGAAATTCTTTTATACATAAGTAAGATATACCCTTTGTATGTATAGATAATACGGATGTTCCTGATCAAGAGAGGATACAAATATCATTGTTTTTTTTATTAAATTATTTTGCCTTTTCGTGACTTTGATAACTTTTTGTTTTTGTTTTTCTGTCTTATCTCTTCATTGTTATTTGTGGTTCTATTTTTGTCTCTTTTTATCGTAATATTTCAGCGAAAGGTTTCTGAATAGTGATTTTTGGGATCGTTTCCACATCTTTCCATGTCGGTATTATCTTTGTAATTGAATTAACTATTGTTAATGTTTTATTACTGCTAATGTTATTTTCATTATATATGTTATAGTTTTTTATTATGGTTATTATTTTGTTTTTCCTATAGTTAGTATCCTTGGTATTATCACTGTTATTATTATTAACAGTAATATATTTATCATGATTTCTGTTGCTATTGAAACTGTTGTTACTATCATTGGTATTATTATTATTATTATTATTATTATTATTATTATTATTGCTATTATTATTGATATTATTTTTGTTATCTTCATTATTATCATTTTCATGTTATCATTATCATTATAACAAATGTTGCCATCATTATCATTAAACTATTGCTATTATCATGTCCTCCGTTCTTATCTGTCAAGGAAAAAGAAAACAGTATCCTTAGATTAAATCCTGCCACTCGCCAACAAATATATAAATAACAGTATTCCATATTCCTGCCAAATTTTTCGAAATCCTGCCACTGTACCAACCTTTCACTTCCTGCATTTGTGCCAATGTGTCCAGTGTCACTTAAAGTCCTGTGTAAGACAAGTGTCGCGGAAAATACACTAGTTCTCGTGCCAAGGCAGGGCCGGAGCCAGACTTGGACGGTACACACACACAGCCATCCCTAGTATGTGCATATATATATATATATATATATATATATATATATATATATATATATATATATATATATATATATATATTAAGCATGCACATATATGTGTGTGTTTTGTATTGTTTAGATAAAAGCTAGTGATTATAAATCATGATTCCAAACCTTTATCAAATTTCCGCTAAAAAGTTATTTTATCAGAGGAATGAAGGTGGGGGGAGGGGGTACAGATGCCCAAGACCCCCCTGGAAACGGCCCTGCAAGCGTCCTTTCTCCTCAGATCCTGCCAAATGTTAGTTACAGATTAGTTTAGCCGCCAGCCATCCTGCCATATATAGTGCTATGTGTCAGGTGTGTGTGTGTGAAGATACAAAATGCAAAACAAACACACACACACACACACACACACACACACACACACACACACACACACACACACACACACACACACACACACACACACACACACACACACACACATATATATATAGCCATGTGTTGACCTAACTGCATAAATACCAATTAATGTC